TTCCGGAAGATCTAGACTGGAAAATGGGCTGTCGCGGGCAGCCGAGCGGCTGGCACAATCTTTTTATTTTCTCCACACAGTTCTGTAAATCACTGTCAGACAACATAGACCAAAAGATGAAAAAAGGCAGTCTTTATCGTAATCACTGACAATAGATTTGAAGCGCGAAGAAGCAGAAACGATTATAAAGTCGAATTCGTGGTTTAGTAAAAATCTTTATTAAACTTATTATTACTTATTATAGACACAGAACAATAAATTAAAATAATAAATATTTTCAACAGACTCCATGTCAGTTTTCCGAGAGAATGTTAGAAACATTCTAAAGAGTAAATAACAATTTTGACAACATCATATTTAAAGAATAAAGAAAGTTAATTCTTACTAAAAAGTTTGTATATCAGCGGGCCATACGAGACATGGTACTAAAAATTAACGTGTCTTGTTTGAACCGGTACCGTATACAGGACGTACCACGGGTTTGTTACACCGATGGAAAGTATATTAAATGTTGAAGATAGGATATTTTACTGAAAGAACCCATCATTTTATTTTTAGTAATAACTGGGAATCAATTTCATGTAATTTAAAAAATACCGACGGGTTGCACTCCGGGAGTGCCGGCAGAAGTGAAAACTTGAATATTAACGTCGTGCATTTTTGATATTTTGGAATGGTTAGGGAATAAATTTGCACGAATTGCTTTAATTATCAGTATAAAAGTACTATCATGTATGTGGTAGAATACAATATTTATTTATTGCGCTATTGTACACCAACATGACAATTTATATTACATTAAAAAAGTTTATCTCTCAGAAAAATCAACTTACATGAATCACGTTTGAGCGCACTTAGCGACATCTATTGTAAAAAAAATGCATTTTCTTCGCAATAAAGCTGCCACGTGGACGTTCTAGATAGATTATTATTTAATACGATAAACTAAAATATTACTATGTTTCGTCCGATATATTGAAAGTTAACAACCTTTCCAATTTTATTGTGAGTCATGATGCGATCAGCCCACGTGTTTAACCTGACGCGAGTTTAACATTTTTTACCCATACAAAAAAAAGTGTACAACGCCGCTAAAGAAATTATCACTTCAAAAAACACATGACGTATTTTATGATAACCATCGAAAGATTAATCATATGGATTATTATTTCTTAAAAAGAAAGAAAGATTATGAAATTAAAATGTTGTTCAGGAAAGTTTCCTCTTACTTAAGCAACAGCTAATGTACCTGCACACTTAATAATACAAGATTTGCTTATTTATGATAAGATTAAATATTGATTATTATAATAATTCACGTCACTTGTACACATAGGTACGTGAAAATAATAATAAAGCGATTGTTATACAAACGTTGCATTGTTTCTTTGTTATTGTAGTATGTGTTCAATTATTAAAAAAATAAATAAAATTTCGTGTTTTTTAAATTTTCTTTCATTTAAAATACTATGTTATTTAGTGAAAAATAATCCTCATGATTAAACCCTTCGACGGTTATCATAAAATACATGTTTTTTTTTTGTTTCACATTTCACGAATTTACGGTTGTGACAGGCGATTTTTTTAAAACTGTGAATGCAGTTCTACTTATAATCAAAAATAAAATGATGTCTTCTGTCAGTAAAATATCCTATCTACATTATTTAATATAGTGTCCCTATAGACAAACACATGGGACGCCCTGTATCTATATACGTCTCTTCGTTCGCGAATAATATTAGTTAAAAATGCTAATAAAACCAAGTGTATTAAATTTTCTTTACCTAATGTAAAAGTCGAACATATTGAAATTAAATTAAATAATAATAAATTAGATTTAGTAGACTCAACTACATTCTTGGGTATAACTATAGACTCAAAACTGCAATGGAATCATCACATTACGCTTTAGGCTGGTAAACTTAGTTCAGCAGCTTATGCCATAAGAAAGATAAGACAACTTACTGATACAGAAACTGCCAGGACTGTATATTTTAGTTACTTTCATAGTATCTTATCATACGGCATTATACTCTGGGGAACAGCAGCTGATATTGAAAGTATATTCATTCTACAAAAAAGAGCTGTGAGATCTATTTATCAATTGAGTAGCCGAACATCTCTTAGAGAAAAATTTAAAGAAATCGGCATTTTGACTGTTGCTTCTCAATTCATTTACAATTGTATACTCCTCGTTAAAAATAATATCAATTTGTATACCAAAAACAGTAACGTGCATAATTTTAACACAAGGAATAGAAATAAGCTTGCATTGCCACCCTACTGGTTACAGAAGGTTTACCGATCTTTTATGGGTCAAGGTATACATTTTTATAATAAAATTCCTGATGCCATTCTTGAGTTACCCATAAATGAGTTCAAGTGTCACATTAAAAATTGTTTACTTAAGAAAGGCTATTATACTATTAACGAATACTTAAATGACAAAACTGCATGGCTGTAACTGTAAATTTGTTTTGTATTTGTTTGCAGTGTCGTACAGATAAATTACCTGAATTCTAAGTAACTATTTTACTTGGTTTGAGTGGTTATGGGTAGTCATGCTCTCTTAAAAATCTCTTCGGCGGTGTCGTGTGAGGCGGGTCGTTGCGTTCCCTACAATATGGTTGAGCGAAACGATGGCTGGTTCATGCGTCATGCTCGTGAACGGGTGCTGCCAGCGGAGATGAGTCTGCTCTATACTACTTTATTATTATTATAATGATAATTAATTATTTAAGTTAAATTTTATTTGTAATTGTATTTATACTGTATGGCACAGCAATCAGAAACAAAAAAAATTAGGTGAACATTTATTATTTCTGAGATAAAGATTTAATGGTGGTGTGGATTCTGGCATGGTTCTCTAGACCTGAACTTTGGTTTTGCAGCGGTGTATCCTTGTTATTCTCTATACAGAGTGAAGGGGAGGCACTGATGTTGGGTTTGGTTTTGGGTTTGGAGGGTAGTGGCAGAGTCGACACTAGTGTTTAGGTAACCACATGCATGTGTCCTACAGTTGTGTTTATAGTTTTTTATAGTAATGTACACTGGTACTTAATTTTTTTTTTCCCTATTTTGCTATCTAGTACCCATATGTGGTTATGGGTAGTCATACTCTCTTAAAAATCTCTTCGGCGGTGTCGTGTGAGGCGGGTCGTTACGTTCCCTAAAAAATGGTTGAGCGAAGCGATGGCTGGTTCATGCGTCATGCTCGTGAACGGGTGCTGCCAGCGGAGATGAGTCTGCTCTTGCTACATTGGGTACTATTAATCGTTGTATTTAACTTTAATGGTACATTTGTTTTTATGCCTAAACAGTGGGACACGGCATTCCTAAACTTTTTTTCATTTTTAAATCTGTTTTTTATATTTTTTATTTTATAGTCATAATTGTTTTATCGTTTACATTTGTAATGGAAAGTGACTTCATGGGTTATCTCATATTGAACTCATTTTTCAAATTGACGACTCTGTATATAATACAGGGAGAAAAAAACAGCCCTTGCTGAGTTTCTTGCCGGTTCTTCTCAGTACAAGGTCTCCCGCCGTAGATTTGCGAACCGATGGCGTAGCCTTTCGACATTCACAAGTGCTTGTAACAGCCTAGACTGAATAAATGATATTGAATTTTGAATTTTTTGAAAAAACTTATTCAAAACGCTTGCTTATATCAAATCATTCACTGAATCACAGAAAATTTTTAGATAAAATAAACAAAGCTTAAAAATCATCAGAGAATATATTAAATTGTTCCCTCGTTTTCGCCGGATGTTTTTGCGTAATTAAATACAAACATATTATCTGTGATCATATTAGAAGGATCTTTGTATGCTCTTGGTTTCAAGACTTAATACTGTGAATAAGAAAATTTACATCAGTATATCATTGGGTCCAAAGCCACGCTTAAGATAATGAGCGATAAACAGCACAAGTTGAAATACCAGTAACTACTAGATTCATTCAAATTTTGTACCTTGAGTTATTAATGTTGTTAATCTTAGACATTGAAGAGGAAAATTTCCTCAAGTCACGCAGTCTCTAAGGAGTACTTAAGTACCAGATCTAATTAAGAAACAGATAACTCGTGAGAGTCATAAATAAGAGAAAGAAGTATTTTTCTGCAAATGACGCAATAAATTACTACCCCACATTTTCTGGACCGGGGAAACCCTACCCCACCTGATGAAAAGTGGAGGTAGTTCTGAAGATGTTGATACGACTCACTCACCTTCCCGGCTTGAACTCAATCCCCATGGTGTAACGAAGATAATGGAAAATAAATTAAAGTACAAAAAGAGCCAAATGACTCTCGAAAAAACCTACGAGGTCCAGGCCCCAAGGTTTTCTCTAGTAATTTTTTAATACAAAATACTGGTAGCACAAACCACTGAACGGTAACAGGAGTAAGTGTCGCCGTACGCGGGTACACGACACAGCCACAAACGCCGCTACAAGAAGCTAGAAGCGGCTACTAAAGTGGCTGAAGCGCGCGACAGCGGCCGACTAAGGCAGAGAGGGGTGGGGAATCGCGCGAATGACGTGTGGCGGCGTTTTGTATCGGCGCATTAAGTGGCCGGTGCGGGCCACAAGAAGCGAGCAACGACGATTTGTAGCGTGTGGTGGCCACCGGCGTACCGTGTGTGGCGAGTCTATATAAAATGTATGAAAACTACAAGAAGTATGCCGGTGGCGGCGTTTTGTGGTTGTGGTCGGAGGCCCGTGTGCGGCGACACTTAATAAGGTTAGCAACAAATGTTTACTATTTCATTTTTTGAAGATTCATCCGAAAGGTGAAGAAAAAGCGTATAATTTATATATCAGCTCCTCGGAGGTTATGTCGGGGAATGAACGTTGTAGCTGAACGCGAGCGTATTCGCGAGCGGAAATCTGAGAACAATCTAAACCGAATGTGAGGGCTACTGTTTTCAAATTTAGTTTTTAGTCTAGAGATTTATATCAGAATCACAGCCAGTATTAATATAAAGTTATTTTTCGCAGTGTTCCACGCGAAGACGGCGATGTGGTCCCGGAAGCAGTCCGTGTCCAGCGCAGTGAGCGGGGCTTCGAAGGGGGATGACGCGGAAGCACCTCTAGGGACCGACCTACACATCTACCCCTTCGCTGTTGCATTGCGCGTCAGGGTGTTACAGGCAAGGCAATAATCGTTTTATTATATTTTTACTTGAAGTCGGCGATGTGATCCCGGAATCAGTTCAAGTGCAGCACTGTGAGCTGCGATTGAAAGGGGGATAACATGGACGCACCCCTAGGGACCGACCTACATATCTACCCCTTCGCAGTTGCATTGCGCGTCAGGGTGTTACAGGCAAGGCAATAATCGTTTTATTATATTTTTACTTGAAGTCGGCGATGTGGTTCCGGAAGTAGTATTTGTGCAGCTCAGCTCAGTAAGCGGGGCTTCAAAGGGGGATGACGCAGAAGCACCTCCAGAGACTGACCTACACATCTACTCCTTAGCTCTTGCATTGCGCGTCAGGGTGTTACAGGCAAGGCAATAATCGTTTTGTAATATTTAACTATTTTATTTTCTTCTATCTTCTTTTGAAAGTTTTATTGTAAATGTTGAAGAAGAAAAAAAGGATAGCTTCTTCCACTGTCAAAGACCTCGGCCAAAAATCAAACCTCGAACTCGGTCCCCAGACAAGTATACAGACACCATAAAACACGACCTTCAAATCATACAACAACGGGCGTCTAATGGAAATTATTCGATATCGAAAATAATTGTGCAATTTCCATGAACCACTGAGAATATAATCACCAAAATGATTATGCGTAGGAATGGTCCCAAAGCCATAAAGTCCATATTTCTTGGTATAAAATGATGGCACTGTTATTGTTCTAAATCGAGGCCAGCCAAAGGTCGGGGAATGATTTTACATAGGAATTATCTGTCGTTAAGCGCCTTCGCCTACAGAGGGAGGTAATCTAACTTCGTGAATCCTTCTTTATGGCAGTATTGACAGACATTATGGGAGTGCTCGATTGGTACTTATTTGGTCTATCCTACTAACGTTACAAATGTGAAAGTTTGTATGTTTGTCTGTTAGTCAATCACGCATAACTTCTGGACTACATTGAATGAAATTTGGTGTATATTATAGATATAATGATTGAAACATAGGATACTTTTTATCCCGGAAAAGAATAGGATCGTGTGGGATTCTCAAAAAACTAAAGTTAACGTGAACGAAATCGCACTAGTGGTAAATACAATAATGGCGGAAGATTAATAATAAGAATCGATCGAGAGTATAATTTTAACTTGCAGCAGTGCGCGTGCACATTTTCTTTCTCTCTTTCTCTTATAGCTAGTCAATGAAATATGTACATGAATATATGTAGAAATATTGTCAAGATTGAAATATTAAATAGATTTTCATTTCCGATCGGTAATAATACGTCTTTCAATCTTGACCCGCCTGACTTCCAAATCATGAACCAGATATTATTTTTTTACTTTTTAATTCCATTATCGATTTTGTTTTGAAGTCGGTTTTATTTTTTGTTTTATTACCTTTATTCATGAGGTAACATTGCAAACCGTTAAGCATCTACAGAAATGTTTAAACAGCCACAGACGAAACTATGAAGCCAGGAAAATTAAAACAGACACACATTCTTTAATCCTAAATTATGCAAAATTATCATGACGGCAACACAGGCAACAAATGAACATTCAGAAAGTTTTAAAAGGGTTTTTTTTTCTAGTAAATCTTTTCTTTAGATATAAATTTTTGTTATTATTTGACAACAAATGTATGAAGGATTTGGGTAAGTTACCTCGCTTTCTCTAAAGGGTGGTAATTTATCTTTATTTCAAAGGGAGTGTGTAAGTGTTCTAAAAGATTACTTAGATGACAAAGCACTTTCGGTTTAAGGAGCAACACCAAACGGTCCTTTGACATTCCTGCTCGTTTCAAAATTGTTTGCTACATTTTTGTGGTTTTCTTTGTGAAGTTATTATTGATGTAGGGGAAGCTAATAAAAACATATACCATAAGTATCTAGGAAGATACGGATTCGAATCCTGTATGAAACCTGGACCGAGTGTGAGTTTTTGTAGTAATATTTTCTTAGGATATAAACATACAGCTGTTAAAAAAAATGGTTTTCGTAAAGACGGTTTCTGGACGATAGTTTTACGGGATAAAGTCATAAAGAAACATTGCTCAAGATTTGCATAATTGCTAGCTCTGACGTCACGCGAGAAGAGAGATAAATGTGTACAATCCGACGCTTGGGCCGATCGTGCCTCTCTATCGCTTGTTCCGCGCTCTCGCTTGCACTCTCAATTTGAGGCTGAACGTGACACTTTATTGTGCGTGCAGCCGGTGTTCATCGATTTACAAGACGTTATCACGTCAAAAAATGTAAATATAACCTAACCTAACCTATACAAGTACATTTTTTTTTAAATTATCATCGGACGGACATGCCTGTATTTTAACCCTTGTTGAGTTTCTTGATATTTTTTCTTAGTACTATTGCAAATAATCGTACTATATCGTATAGTTTTTCTATACTCAGAATATTCAACATGATAAATACTAGGGTATATTTTACAGATTTTCTCCAACCCAATTTCAATCATACAAAAAAAATCTCAACTTAAAAGATCTAACTTTAAACTTATTGTCTTAATATTATTTACGTCTCTCAGTACCGCCCTAGTTTAGATAATCATGTCAGAATCTACACCAATGTATTGTTAGAATCAAACACATTTGAGGTGATTATTTACATAAAGTTGGCAACTACAACTATTTTGTGCTATTTATTAGCAAGCACAAAAACCGCTATGAATAACTGCAAAGTAATGCAAATGTTAGCCAAAAAGTTTGGTTACAGATTGCAAGTACGTGTTTAGTTAAATGTTCGGTACATACGCTGAATCGCGCTTTAGATATTATTTTGTGCAACCAGGTTATTAGGATTACACCAATCCCCTGTTAATCCCCAGTATCTACTTACTTATTATGCCGCGTTTCATTAGGCAACATTTGTGTATAAACACAGTTTATAAACAGTATTTAAAATGTAGTTTCGAACCCACCACCTTTTCCTTTTTTTTCTGTAGTACTCTCATGAATTACTTTGTAAGTAGCACAGAGCAACACTACCTCCTCGGGCAACATCCTAGCAACAACTGACTAGTGTGGACGGCAATGTTTCAAAAACAGTGTTAAAACTTGTTTTTAAACAAGGTGATGAACGCCATAAACAATGTATCAACAAATGTTGCCTAATGAATACGCGGCATTAGTAAGTAGTACGTACAGGGTTTAAAAGCAGAAAAGTACTTTTGCAAGTAAGATAATAATATACAGCTATAATTCATCAAACAATTGTGTTGTAGACTATAACAAAATAGTTCGGTTACAAATAAACAGTATAGTGATGTTATACTAACCAATAATTTTGTAACCAATTACTGAACAAGTGTAAGCATTGTCAAAATCATAGTTATTTATAACAAAATACTTTTGTAAATTTTAAATAACTGTTTTGTTATAATAACTAAACTATTTTAACAAAACCGAACCGTTTGTCTACTAGTAGCTATAGTTATATAGTCACTGTTTTTAAGTAATATGTAACAAAATTATTTGATATAAGTAACTCAAATCTTTTTTCAATAGATACAGTACAGTAATAATTTCATTAAAGATAAATTGCTACCGAAGCCACTTTGGCTATAATTAAATTATCAGATTGCGAACCCAAATTGTATTAGGACCTTTATAAAATGATATCCGCCTCAATTTCCAAGAATACCATCAATCGAAGCGCCTGAAGCATAAATAAATCAATTTGTAGAGGCAAAGACTAATAATACTGCAAAAGGAATTGGAAGTCACAAAGCCTAATGTCTAAAAGATGTGTATGTAAAGACATAATGTTCTTAGTCATAATTAAATTAGGGCTACATATACTTGTACCAGCCCTTAGCATGAGCATCGCGATGTGTTTTGTTTTAAAGCTCGTTTTTATCATGCTCATTGTCGTTGAATGTTCGTTTACATCGGTCGTGAGCAGACGTGTTCTGAGTTAATATTTATTTTTCCAACTTAATAATTATTCGAAATTAGTTCCTTTATTTAAGAACTAAGAGCAGATATTGGCTCAACACCGACTGCATAAATTGTGTAGTTATTCCTTATCGGTGTTGACTGAATCCATAGACCTACATCTGCACAGACATGTTACGATCACCGAAGCAAACATCAAGTTCAATACCGGATCTGTCTCAATTAAAGAAAATGGAAGCAGAGCCTAGTTTAACTATGAAAAAGCGAAAGCACAGTGAAGATTACACCGAAGCTTTTAATAAATTTTCCGATAGAATGATGGCATCACTGAATAACTGGAAGTCAGAAATTAGCAGGGATAACTCTCTGTTACATGAAAGCCTCAACATGCTAAAGGAGAACATTGGAAACTTAAGTCAAACTTCACAAGAACTGAAGACTGAAATGCAGAGTATACGATCGGAATATTCTGACATTAAAAACTCTGTGCAATTACTTAATACCAAATTTGCAGGCTTAGAGAGTGAAATAAGTGACATGCAAGATTCCGTTCAGTTCACTAGTGACCAACAAGATGATATCATTAAAAAAGTTGAGTTCCTCTCGGATAACACTAAAAAGATTGAAAAGTTTAGCAGTGAACTGGAAGAATTGAAGAGACAGAACCGCCAATTGAAGCTTGAATTGAACATTAATGAGCAGAGAGACAGATTGATGAACTTAGAGATAGTGGGAGTGCCCGAAGTAAAAGATGAAGACTTAGCGGTTATTATGGCACTGATAGCTAACAAGATTGATTTAGAAATGTCCGCAGCTGATATCATACAAATAAACAGAGTAATGCCAAAAGTCAAGATTCAAGGACGGCCTAGAGTTATCATTGCCAAGTTAAGATCACGCCTACTCCGCGACAATTTTATCTCACGAGCCCGCAAAAACCGCTTATCAACGGAAGATTTAAGTTTACCTGGTGCCCCCAAACCTATATACATAAATGAACACTTAACGGTTTCTAACAAAATGCTATTGCAGAAGTGTAAAGAACTTGCTAAATCAAAAGAGTATCAGTACGTGTGGTCGAAATATGGAAAAATTTA